TGAAAGAATCAAAAGGTGAAAACAGCGACAATATGTCAAAGCGTAGCAATTCCACTTTAGTCAGTTACATATTTTTTCATAATGCTTCCTGGATGCTTTAGATCAGGCCGTCTTATTGGATACACAAAAAGCCAATCGGAATTTGATATCTTCCATTCTCTGATTGGTTGGTTTTATGTTACAATTTCAAGCTGTGCCTTTAGTGTGCAAAAAGAGGACATATGAGAGAAAGAAGTGAGAAGGATTGTTATTGCACATTAAAATCAACATAAGCAAACATGAGCACAGAATAGTTTTAGGTTTGGTCTATAAAAATTACTTTTTCGTAATAATTTCCTTGCAAAATATAATTTATGCGGTTGCAAAATGTCTTCAACAATGTCTTGTTTCTGTGCTTCGAGAATGAGGCACCCATGTCAAGTCATACACAATGAATTTCCTTTAGTTTTGCAAGGATCTCTTGAGTCATGTGCTTTAAAAACGACATCATTACGGGACATGGATGAGCGTGATTGAGATGGGACCGCATGCAACCTTAAAATTCACAAGTAGAGAGGAGTCAATGTTATCAAAGTGATTGAGTAATATATAAATCTCTCATGGAAACACTAGCTATCAAAAGTTACTCGTCACACCAGACTGAAGAGGTTGTAATGCCAAAACGGTTTAAGATCTTATAAGAGGAAGATATGGTTAATACTTACTTTAAAGTGTACACAGTCTTGCTTTAAAAAGCTTATGTAAGCTAGCTTTGGGGGGGAGACACTTAATTCCCACCACTTCATTCAGAGACAACTAGTATTACAACTTAAACCCACAACGCTGTGCCGTGGACAGAGCACTATGACATCACAGGATGCAGTGTTCAGTTTGATCTTACTTCGCGCATTCATAATAATGTGTGTATTGTTGTGAAAAACACTTGATAGAAACCACACACACACACACTTACACACACACACACACACACACACACACACACACACACACACACACACACACACACACACACACACACACACACACACACACACACACACACACACACACACACACACACACACACACACACACACACACACACACACACACACACACACACACACACACACACACACACACACACACACACACACACACACACACACACACACACACACACACACACACACACACACACACACACACACACACACACACACACACACACACTCTTTGTCTCACACAGACAGCCCAGTGATCCACAAAACATTGTGACAGCCTAGTTCCTCTCAAGCAGAGACACACACACACACACACACACACACCCACCAACACACAGGCAGGGATTCAGGGAGTCCCTGTCAAGTAGCTTATGTGAACTTCAAGGCATAAACACTAATTATGATAACTGCATGGCAACCCACGATAACAGTGACAATTTATTAAAGGTAGGGTTGGTAAGTTTGAGAAACCGGCTCGAGATACACTTTTTGTTATATTCCATGGAATGCTCTTAACATCCCGATAGCAATGAATATCTTAAGTGCTTTGACAAAAAATCCATAAAAATGTCATCTGTGGAAGCCGTAGTACTGTAAAAAGTACAACCAATCATTTTAGCCGGCCCGGCTAAAATAACTGGATGGCCTACCTGCCTGTCAGCCTTCCATCTGTGCACAAACTTATCTCGTGCCCTCATTGGTCATGTGCGCGTTCGTGTGTGTTGGAGGAGGGGCTCTGTAAGGAAGTGGCAGATTTTCTCCGGTTGTGTGTTTTCAAATTCTAGCGATCTCGAGCTGGTTTCTCCAAACTTACCTACCCTACCTTTAATGTGTTAATTCCTATTGTGGATAATGGTAATGCTGAAAGACAAATGCATATCAACCTGTTATCCTAAATACTATTTAAAAATGCCACATTTGACAAGAGTTGCTCAAAAATAAATGTGACAAAAGGATTTTAAAATCCTAAAGGCTCAACAATAAGCCTTTTTTTTTCTTAATGTAACAACAAATCGTATTTGTTTGTCCGTCGGCTTATATGCCTGTGATTTTTACCAAAAAGTTCCAGCATAATAAACCCTAATAAGCCACTACTTTAGCCTCTGAACTAAGTGCACTGTGTTACATCATGGTCAGCTATTTATGGAGTAATATGCTTTATTTCAAAGAAAGCAGAGACTCATTAGGTTTGAATAAAGCCACAGAGATCAATAATGTATCATTTTATCTACAAAATGTTACCTCTGTCTTTTGTGCCTCTTTGAATCATAACAAAGGGGTTTAACAATGAAATGCTATCACAAACAATGGTTTCTGAATCTCTTCCAGACACTTCTCCTTAGAGAAACAGCAGATATCGCCTCTGCCTTTAGCGCTGCCAATCGATCTTGGCTTACATTGGCCACAAAGCGCCAGCACTTGTTGCACCCCACATGCCTGAGGGGGATTTTGCAGTTAGTGGCTGCTTAAAATCCTATCCTGACAAATTGATTCAGCTGTGGACTTGCAAAATGGATAAATTCATAAAATAAATCCTATGTTGTTGCTCCTAGTATGCTATCAGAAGCCTCCAGCATTTGATAGACACATCAACACTGTCCGTCTGGCTTCAACCCAACTCCAAATGTGATCATTAGTGCCATGTGGAGCTCATGTGGGGATACACAGCAACAATATCCACTGGGGCAATTCAAAGATTGCAACCCAATTTCCTCCAATGACACATTAGGGAAACATTAACCAGATCATATACATGCACATTCATTTTATAACCAATTACTGCACCATCTTCAGGCTTTGCATTCATCAGCAGCAGGCACGTGCACACATAGACATCAAAGTGGGCTTGAGCCACTGCCCTTTTTCTTCCTCCAGAGAAAGTGCCCTTTCTTTTTTAAATAAATGAAGATATATCTACTGCTGTTTGCGCACAGTTTCCCTTTCCAAAAATATATTGATTGAATACAAAATAAAAATATCAGGTCGGGAGATTAGACTGTGAAGTTCCGATGCTCTCTCTAACCTCCCTCCCTCCACGTCTCGCGCACAGCGGTGCGGACATCGGCAGTCACTTCAGACCGTCACCGACCGACAGGTAGCAGCACCTCCCACCCATGGATGTATAATAAGAACTGGATACAGCGTCGGTCTCGTTCTTTCCTATGAGAGCTGCTCATTGGTTTTTAATAAGGGCTATACAAATGTTCATACTGGGTAGTTTATTTGGTTAAAAAAAAATTATCCAACGATTTACAGACCACTCTTTCCCAATGTTAGTCAATGGGAAAAAGTATTTTTGGGCCCAGGGACATCACGGACTGATACGGAAGTTGCAGTACCGCCGCTTGGACAGAAAGAATATTTTCCTCAGAGTCCGGCGCACTTCCTGGGGGCTTGGTCCCACCTTACAGTCCCATGTTATGCCGGCTTTTCTTGGCTTGTTTGAAGGTGAGTGGTGATGATCAAATGACTAAACTGCCAGTGCCTCAAGTTTACAGCTAATTAGCCAGAAGACAAAAACAAATATAGTTAACTAAGATAGGCTACTAGCTAATGGATAAGTTAGCTCAAGGTTTAGCTATGGCAATTTATCATGGGCATACAGGCTAATGTACTGTACTTAAGGGGAGACACTAAAGGTGAATACAGTAAAATGTGTATCTAATAACGTCATCACAATCGTCACATTGATATGCAAATTAGGCGTTAACTAGGCCTAATTAAAATGCGCTAATTTGCATGCAGTTACCAAGGCATTGCAGGTGAAAAGGATAAAACAAAAAACAAACATAAAAACATATCACCTCACAACTTCCCCAGATAGTTACCTACGTCAAGTCAGTATTTTCCCCTGAAATGTTATGTTTAAATATGCATTTTAGCTTTAAATCTATAGATTAATTCAGACATGGTATACACCATTTATATGTGTTTTTTGGAAGTTTTCTTTCCATTAGAGTGAAAGAAAACATGGAAGCAAAATAGACCAAAATAACAAAATGTACAAGTACATGAAAAACTATCTTTTTGCCTGTAATGTCCTTAAACAGTAACTTTTGATTGTTGGCTATAGAATAACTATTAATTGTACTAGTTTGTTGTCTGCTCTTGTGCGTAGTGAATGCTAAAGAAGGCCATTGTCTCTGTGTTAACTGATTTTGTAGAATTCTGCTGAGTATTAAACAATTGTGTGAGTGTGAGGGTATTAAAATAAATTGGTCAGTAAGTCAAAGATGTGCAACTATATTTAACTTTTTGTTTTAATTTTTTTTTTATAAATGATTATGGGATGTGCCCTTTTTCTCACTTGAGTTCCCGCCCCCCAAAATGTCTGTGCACGTCCCCGATCAGCAGCCATTATAGAGCAGCTTTTCACTGCCAACGCCTGAGAGAACTAGCAGGAAGGCCTAAATGGAAATGAGCTCTCCAGTATTCCCATGCTGTTTGATAAGGGCAGTTTGCCCCTCTTTTAGCTGCTGCTTAGCACATACACTGAAGTTTGATGATGTTACTTATTTACATGCTAAACACTGACTCTTGGACAACTTTCAGAACAAGTTATTTGCCAATTAGCACATCTAATAATGATTTACAGCAAATGATTTCCCCTAAATATGGAAATATTGTAACTGCCACACCTATGGAAACCATCCAATGATAGAACATATCCACATATTCCAATATGTTTACAGTGTACAGTATTTATTCTACTGTACATGATGTGCATTTTTCTCATTCCTGCAACTTACTTGCAGCTTTATGTCATTCGCACTATTTATGTCTCTTTTTATGTTGAATATATGTTGAAAGAGCCTGAGATTGAAGACTTTATTGCCAAAAGGATGCTATAGCTATAGCCCATATGATAAATAAAACCTTCGAATGCTTTTGATAACTTATTGTCCTGTACGTAAGCAGAGGTCGCCCTCTGGTGGCTTAATGTTGTACATGACAGCCAACTAAATGGTAAACACAAACACAACAAGGCTCTGTCTGTGGGTACATGTGCACACTCACCAAGTTGTAGTGAAGTCTCAGTGTGGTAATATCCATCTTGTTGCTTCTTTTTCAACATGGAACAAAGATCCACCCGTTCGACTGTCTGGTCCCCGAAAAACCTGCAGCGAGACGGACAAAGTGACAGTGAGAAAGTGAGAGGCAGAAGACTGTTGATGCCTCCAGCAGAAAGCAAAGACCGACGTCAGTCAGTGCAGCCACTTGTCAGCAATGATCACTCAAATGAAAGGAAACAACTAAATGAAGCTCCATGACTTTATACATTTGGATTGTTTTACATTTTTTCCTCTAAAAACTACAGAATTGGAGACAAAACAGCAGACAACATACAGCATAATGTGCTGCTGGTCAATTAAAAAGTTAAAAGAGAATGAAAGGGTCATAAACCATTTTTAAACATCAGGGAGTCAGTAAATGTCCCACTCTATATATTGCAATATACATACGTTATCTATTGTAGTACAATGCACATGTTTACCTTAACTTCTTAAAAACACAAAAAATATCTTTATTTGATTGTTTTTGAAATGTTTTTATTGCACTTACTTAAAATTGTTTTTTATAAATAATTTGTTCTGTTTTTTTATTAATCTTTTTTTTTTACTCTCAAATGAAGCAACCCAATTTCACCAGAGAGAAATAAATGTTTGTGATTCTGTGTCAAAAAGTTGATTGAAATGAGTTAGAAGTGGATTAATGAAATCGATGCAGAAGTTTTCTCCTGTATATTATATCACTTTTTATTATTTTATACCTGTCATATTACCTTTGTTTTTATTTGTTTTCTCTTGGTTTTGTAATGAAATATTTTGTATGTATTTATTGTAATTGTATAATGTGTTACTGTTGCACTATGCTTTAATGCTTTTTAAGTTTTTTGTAAAGCATTTTGAATTGCCTTGTGTTGAAATGTGCTATTTAAAAATGATTAATTAAACCAATGATCTGTTATCATTGGGAATCCAGACTGGAGCAATGGAATAAAACAGTGCTGGAAATAAGAAACAGTTATCTGAATAAAACAGCACGTACTTGTTTGTATAGTTTGAGTAGAGGGCTGGGTCCACACGTTTCATACCCTGAGAGACGGAAAGAAAAGTTATCACACTTTTAGGATATTCTCACACACACACACAGATGTAGACACTCACACACTGACAGGGGAAGACAAGGATGCCGCCCAGCAGACGCCAGTCAGGATATGATGTCATCAGGTGTCAAAGGAAGGATGGATGCTGTCCTTCCTGTCTCTCCCCCTGACCAGTACTCATCTTTCTGTCCTCTTCCACCTCAGCTTTATTTATATCCTACTCCATTTCCTCAATAGCTCCATCACATTAAACTGTTCTTTAACTCCTGAGTTTTCTTCCACTAATACACCCTAATATAATGGTTCATAAACTATTGAATTATTTAGTAGATTTGTATTACAACAGCTAGGAATTCAGTTGCTTGGCTGGACATTTCCCAGCCACTGAGCTACTGTTCTGAATCAGTCAAGAGAGCTCGTTACTTTGGACTGCGTATAAAAGCATGACTGGAGTAAATCATTCGATGCGAATATACTGCATGTTGTTATTATCCATTAAAACAAAAACCATGCTGTGACACTGCAAATTAGTTTGGATATATGTATACTATTTGTTATGTAAATACAGACATTGTTATGGAAAAAAATATTTAATTTGTGTTGTGACATAATCACCAGTTTAGTGATGCTTTTGACATCACAATGTGGAGCTTCCCTTACACTAAAAGGTGAGGTCTGAGTACTTATTAAGTAAATATAACAGTTACAAAATATATATATATATATATATATATATATTTGTGCATTTTATTCCTTTTTTTTAATGATCTAAATTAGCATATACATTATTTTAAAAGAGTTATGGCCATGTTTATGAGGTCACAGTGACCTCCACCTTTGACCACAACATTTTATCAGTTCCTTTTTTAGTCCAAGTGGACAGTTGTACCAAATATGAGACACATGAGAAACTCACTCAATGTATTCCTGAGATATCATGTTCAAGAGAAAGTTGATGGGGAGTCCATTATTAGCAGTAAAAGGCATGTTGGACTCATAATCATGTCAATATAGCCTTGTATAGTATGCTAAGATATTGAGCATCTCTCCACACTATATAAATGTGTGTGTACCTGGGATCGTAGTTTCGATGCTCGGGACAGCTTCATCATGGTGAGGTGGGGGGAAAACCCGCGATTGCCTTCTTGCAGAAGACCCTGCTCTTCAAAACGGCTTTGCAACAACTCTGCAACACATGACACCAAACGTGTTATAAGCAGGAGGCTTTCAGTTGACATAATTCAATATGTAGCAATAAACGGCAGAGACGCAACAGAGGTCATGAGATGGATCGGAGCCCGATCATGAGCAAGATGTACGTCATCCACCTCGATTCCTCTCAAATCCCCTTCATGGATTTTTGTAAAAGCCAGAATTGGAGGGCACAGAAACAGATGGCAGAGTCAGAAGATGGGCAAAGAAGCGTTTTACTTTCATATCCTTTGACCAAACAGATACAAAACAAGGACACAAACTAGCAGTAAATAACCTGCAAGGACAGACACACACAATGACACCGACTGATGAGGTTTACAGGGAAACCAGGGGGGTATTTTTAGAAGAGGAGCTCCACAGGGAGAGAAAGGTTAGTATATAATCGATGATGGGGTGGAGGGAGCAGACTGCAGTCTGACTTCCTGCCTTATCCTTATTTAGTTTTCCAATACAAACATATGGACTCGCTGATGTCATTTTCTGGAGTTGCAGTGTCATTTTTCACGTCAGAAATATAAATAAAAACTAAAAAGGGAGGAATCGGAGGGAAATACTCCTGTGGAAGAAGTCAATGTGTTTCATCAAACAACAGCATGGCTTATTTCTACACTTCATCATAGCTTCATGAACTGGAAGTCTGGAACTATATTTGATGTCAAACCTAAAGAGAAGGGCATCATAGTGGAGCACTTGATTCAACAAATTCACCTAAATTGAAATAGTTTTTTACTTTATTACTCCTTATATAAAAAGCAAACAACAAATGTCAACAAACACGGTTGAGGAAATACCGAGGTGAATAAAGCAAATATATACTGGAGAGTCGCAAATAATAGAGCCTTATTAGGATGTATAATCTTGAAGAAATGTTTCAATTTATACCTGGGAAAAAAAACGGTGGCTAAAAAAAGAAAACTAAAATGACTTATTCTGTAAGAGTGAAAAACAGAAAACGGGAAAAATGTATAAGGTTTTGACATGTGTATTTTGTAAATTGTGTAATTTCTAGTTTTACCTTCAATATTTGTCTGCATGTTTAGTGATTGATATTAAGCTATCTTGGCTCTTTACTTAATACAATGTACATTTCCCCTCTATGGGCCGAATAAAGGTATTCCTATTCTGATTCTGACATAAAGACATCGGCCCCATATCAAGCGATTGACATAATATTATTATAGTATAAAAGTGATAAGCCAATAGAAACTGCATTACTAGCTGTAAACTGTATCCCCCTCTTTGTTTTGGTAACATGTTTGACTTACTTTTGTTTGTATAAAAGGTGTAAAGTTTTGAACTCATGATAAAAAGAATAAATAAATAAAAGCTTTGGAAAACAACGAATTAATACAAATCTTGAACTACTTTGCAGCATTCCTTTTCAACGCTTTTATGTTTGATAAAGAGTGTAGGCCTGTGGCTATCAGACTGTTTACCCCTCCCTCCGAGCATCATGCACTAAATATCCCAGCACTTGACTTTGTATCTTTGATTTGACGTTTTACTTTCATTCTTATGTTTGTTTATCTTATCTTTAATTGCTCCTTTTACTTCGTATATTATATAATAAATTCCACATTTCTTTTGCAATCTTTTATTTTGTTCATTCTATCATGGAACAAATGTCTGATAGCTAACACAGTTGTTGATTGAATACACAGGTGTTTGTGCTCCTTTTTAAAGCTCAACTACTGCCATAATTCATTTGAGGCTGTAAACGCCAGCACCCAAATGTCAACATGAAACGACCAATCGAGCAAAACTCTTCCTATTAATAATTTTCAACACACTTCACATGAGCTGCAGCAGGCGATCAATCACTCGAGGGTTACGCTTGGTGGAGTTTGATTGGGTTAATTAGGGAGGGTCTGCCTGTATTCATGTCAGCTAAGAGGTTTGATGGAGTAGATCACGAGTTAGACATTTTGACGCTGCATGTTTACCTCCAAGCAAAAAGAAACACACCTACCTTTCTCTGGTCACTTGGCATTAAAAGCTCATCACTACTTCCTCGTCAAGCAGACACAAATGTTTCATAAAATCAGGTGACTTTTCAAGATGAATTGAACCCTGATAGCCGGGTTAATTGCGTTCAACCATCTCTCCGATCTCTTTAAAAGATGAATCTACTGCTTTTCCGATTCATATCAAGCCCTGCGATGAAATGCCTTTAGGGATTTGACTCGCTTGATCGTCACTAATATGCCAAATGTAATATTTGCTCTGATCTGAGCAGTTAATATTAAAATAAATGTGTGTGTATTCGTGTGTGTGTGTGTGTCGGTGTCGCATGAGCAATAGAGTGAGAATCCTCTTAGAAATGTTGGCTTAATGTTGTTGCCAAAGGCACAACACAAAAACACACATGCAAGTGCTTCCACACACACACCCCCACACTGGTACAGATGCAAAATGACGAATGTGAGAAGATAGATGAAGACGTATCACACGCACAGCTGTACACACTTGTGTCAAAACATTATCCAGATACACACACACAGAAAATGACCCAAAAAACATATTATTTGACCAAATCCACTTATACCATTTTAAGCAGTGGTGGAATGTTATTTACTATTTTGACATACTGGTATTTTAAATATTGTACTTTTGACTCCACTACTTTGACAGCTTTAGTTACATTAACCATAAACATGCTTATATGATATGATGCACTACTATAATACTTATCTACCAAGTATTATATTAAGTGTCTATAACTGGCTCCACAATTATGAACTACAATAATTAAATACCCTTGCGTGTAAAGGTGAGTGATATTAGCAGAATTAAATAATATTGTACGATAATCACAATATAACACTTTAATAAGAGTTTGTACCTTTACTTTTGATACTTTAGTAGTACTTTAAGACAATATTATTTATACTTTTACTTAAGTAAAGAATCTGCATATCTCTTCCAGGATTTTTTTTTCCAATATGTTCTTGCTGTGTTTTTATTTTAATGAACCTAAACGATATTTTAACACATTAAGAGTAGTGCAGGGCATAAATGCAGGTCAAAGAATTCTCCTGTGCCTCAGGTCAATCCACAATATATTGAATGCGAGAGTGTGAGGGTTAGCCTTTATAGATTACACCATATGATGTCCTAAAGATGTCTCATCTGTGACCACAGCAGAAAGCATCCGCCCCATTTGAGTGTCATTAGGAAAGACAACAAATCTTCAGAGCTCCTCAGTTGACCGTAAAGACAAAGTACGGTATCACATTAACATCTTCTAAAGAAATGTTTACATTAATACAGCACAAAGAGACACAAAAATGGGATTCAACAGACAGACAGACGCATTTAAAAGAGCGAAAAGTCAAATGTTTGTCACCAACCTGCCAGACTGTCCAGTGTGTGTCTGTGTTGTCCGGGGGCCAGCCCAACAAACACCACCTCCTTCCTGAAATGACCGATCCCCGAGAAGGGCAGCACCAGATCCCGCCCACCCAGCAGCTCGGCCAATGACGGCTCGGCCTCAGCCAGGACGGTTGTGGCCCTGTAAGAAAATATAAACACATGAATGAACACCGCACGCACACAAACACTAATACACACACACGCTGACACACACCGGTTCACAACTTAATCCCCTCTCTCCCTCCCGCTCATATTACATAACGAGAGAATCCAGTGATTACTAATGACACAATCTTCTACTTAAGATTAAGCATCAGTATCATCACACAAGCTGCATTGAGCTGAAAACATGAACATATCAAATGAATGAGAAATCAAGAATATAAAATGCACTTTTTTGTGTTGAATGTTGGAAATGATTTTACATATTTCTAAAAGTGTACTTAAAATATAATACAAATTGGTAGTATTCTTCCTCATTGACGACACTAGATGGTTAGCAATGTCTCCTGTGTTATTGTTTGACCATTTACATGACACATTTATGGAATAGGATGAAATATACATCATATTGAGGAGGTTTAAGAGAGACATTTTACTCTGGTTATTAACTGGAATAAAAGCCTCAGATTACTTTCTGGCCTCAGGGACCGTCCTCCTTCAGCAGTGCTTTTCTCATTATCGTAATCTAACCCTTAAACATTTAAAGCACGATCAAGCAGTTTCCCTGGAAGTGCTGAGAGGGAGAGATAAAGACAAAAGCAGCGATACATGCTGGTTATTATTCACTGCAGGACTCTCCATCCGACCACAACAACTACGAGGCCTTGTTTGTCTCTCTGATGTGGTAACAATGCACAGCATCACAGACTGAATGATAATATATGGTTGCAAGCATTAAACTGATTTGAGTGGTACTCTGTCCGATTGAAGAAGTATTCAAAGCTGTATTATTGGTTATATCATGGCAGGGCAATAGGAAAAGGCAGAATCCAGGACAAAAGAGGGATTTTTATTCAACAATCAGTCAATGAAGAAAAATTAAATCTGCGCAGGATGTATGTGCACGTCATAAAGCTGATCAATTCAACTGAGAGCTCATGATCCCTGCTTTCAAAAAAAAAAATGTTGTGCAAATTACTGGATATATTGTCAGAGGTAATATGTTGTATCTTACACAACAGTCTAGTGCAGTGTTTCTCAAACTTTTTCATGCAAAGGACCACTTAACCAATAAAAAAACACTCGCGGACCACCTAACTCACCAAATATCCCAAAACAATAGGCCTGCTTACCACTCCAACAGTATATAACAAATTACAGCCTAATTATGACAGCTTAACCTTCTCTGTATCGCCTCGTTCACACATTAAATCAACAATACAAATACAACTACAGATTATATAAGCATTTCGTTCAAATGCGATTTAAAATGCTCAGGTTTTACACCTCTTATGAAATGTAGACTACATTTATTACGGAGTTTATGTCCAACAGACTCACAGATGGTAGGCTACTGAAAGATATGCAAAATACACCGCTATGACACAAACCTCCGCTGTGGATTTTCAAAACAAAATACAGTAAAACTATGGTCGCAGGCCCAAGTTTAACTCTCTGAGGTCTAAGCCATTTTTCACATGTTAGGCTCGCGTGGGCTTTTTTTTGTAAAAATGCTAATAAAACATGAACCTTGGTGACCATCGGGCTGGCCTGCATGGTCTGCCTACAAAACAAAAATAAAAAAACGTTTTTGCAGCCCCAACAACAGCCTCTGTTCATCAACAGACTTCATGCAATGCTTCATTGGATGCATATATTAGATAATAATCTCTATCTAACTCCTAAAACATCTAAATCTACTTTCAGCATGGATAATACGCTTCATGAAATCGAAAAAGAAAAAACACATAGTTTTTCTAGAACAGATTATAAATCGCGTGAAAATGGTAAAAACAAGTGGCAACATGTGTGACAAAGGTGTTGCGCTGGGCTATATCATGCAATTGAAAGTGAAACTTAAGCTCGTTCCATTGCGGAGATATTCCCGCGAGAGTGCGGAAAACTTAAATGTATTTATTTATTTCAAATGTGAAATTTTACCAATATACTCACGGACCACTAGGGGGCGATCACGGACCACCAGTGGTCCGCGGACCACACTTTGAGAAGCACTGGTCTAGTGTATACTGTGTAAAAAAACTATAAATATATATATATACATATCAATACAAGTATTAAATAATTACACACTTATTCTAATGTATTTATTTAAAACATATGTGACATATATGATGTGTTATTTCATATGGGATTTATTTATAAATGGTGGAAATTAAGCAATAAATTACAGAATTATTAGAGCATTGAATTAAACATTATATATTTGTTATTATATATTTATATTTGTACACATATTTCATTTCTGTCCTTTAAACCCTCCATACACATGATTACTGTCATTTCTAAAACCTGTGCTACATTTCTGCTTTGAAAAAGTGTAATGGTTGGAATTTATTGACTGTTTGATAGCTTTTTACAACAAAAATGTTAAACGTTTCCCAAAATGTTTAGTTAGACTAAAGCTTTAGTGGTTTGTAAGTGTGTATAAATATTATGAAGCCATTATGTGCGTTACAGAGTGTTAGTGTGTCTGTGTGTGCATCCACTCACAGGTCTACTTGCTCCTGACTGGCGAGATGAGTGACTAATAGCGTGATGTGGAGAGTTGGGACAGGGATCATGGCTCTGGCCAATCGGGGCTCCTGCTGAAGTACCGCCTCTTGGACCTGGGTCACGGCTGAGCTGATCTGTCATTGGATAGATTTAAGTTCAATCAGCAGCAGCCGGCATATGCTGTCACATTCAGGGTCTGTTTGTTACCTATTCTAGTCCTATATGTTCTTTACCTCCACTCCTCTGGATGTATGGAGGAAGACTGAAAGAGAGGCAACTTCTGCAGTTCAACACCACAGATGAGGCGTCAATAAAAGATAACCATGAGGTAAGTCTAAGTTCATTCAGAGATTTTTTTTTGTCAATAAGCATTAAGATTTCAGTGTCATCATCTGTCAGGTAATTAATCTTGAACGTTTTTTCCGTAACAGATTTTCTGCAGTTACCGATTTGGCTACACTGACCATGACCAAGTGTCAAACACTAAATTAATCAACAGTATTTTAGGATAAGAGATTAAAGACTTCTCTACAAAAGGAGAACTTTCCTTAAATATCCCAGTTGCTTATGTTTGTTTTACATTTCCAATTTACTACACTTATTTTTTCTCATTTGCTGCCTACTGTCCAAAGCATACAATAGTTTTGAATGCTTAATACATTTATTTAGCAACACATTTGCAATTACTTAAGTAGTTCAAAAATAATTTACTAACTTTAAAGTGCTTAAGTTACTGATAGTCCATCACATTGAATAATATTATAGGTTGTATATCTTTTGTGAAAAATATGTTATGTTGATGGAAGAGTACATCGTTTTTGGAAGGTCTTCTGATCAGTTGGGTGAATTGCAAACAAACATGAATGTTGGGAAAAGGATGATAAAACAAAAAGTGGATAATCAATAAGTTGATCAGTAAGCTGGCAAACATTTTTAATAAATAAAACCTGTAATTTAAAAAAATAATTGGATACAATGCACACAAACGTAAGTATGATCCTTAAAGTACACAAGCAAGTGAATAGAACCTCTATACCTCACCTGTGTGTTAGTGATGGGGATGGAGATAAAGTAGTTGGGCCGCACGCACTCTTTCTTTTTTTTCTTCTTATCTGCGTCCTCTTCGCTGTCAACTCGCCCTCCAATGTCTCCTCTCTTCCTCTTTCTCTTCTTCTGAGTTGAAGCTGGGCCGGAGACTAGAGAGAAAGGGCAAGCGTACTATTAAAAAAAACTCTAAGTTGTATAAGTATAAACATCACATCAAGAATATACACACATCCAAGCTCTTTCCATGTGGTGGGGCTGGTCAGAGAAAACGGAAGCTCTGACATATAATTGTCCGAGGTTTCAGCTGACTTGAGGTGTCTGTTTATTAATTTCCTCTTCTCCCTCCTCTTCTTCCTTTTCATCTTCTTCTCATTTGATCCTACTGGATCTGGAGCTGCTATAGCAAAGAAATAAATCACAATACAACAACAGTTCATATTAATTAGGCTCACCAAAAAACAACAACTATACAGAGTGCTTTTCTGAAACTTTTGTAAAATGCTTGACTATAAGAAAAAGCAATATATTATAACTTTAATTGGCTAAAACATGAAAATAACATGTCATGACCGCTAGAGGAACAAATATATTTTTAAATCAGAAACAAGCAAAGCAATACATTGTTGTGAATATAATGTTTTATATTTTTTGTAGCTACATATTCATTTGGTCATGCAAGCGTTTCAAATGTTGCCCAGTGACAAAGTGGAAAAAGCCACTTAAATGAAGTGAAGCCGGCATGCTGATATTCAAACAGAGTAAGATAGTGTAGCAGATTCCTTTGTGAGGATGAGTTGTATTAAGGTATAATAGATCAATTCTAAAAAGAGCAACATAAACAACTGCAATATTTCACATCTGGCCAGCTTGAGATGCTGCATAGAACACTAAAAGATATTTTTTTACTTTAATTTCACCCATGAGCAGCCATGAAACAGATGTGTCTATCAAATTGAAGAGCCCCATAATACAAAAGTGTGATTTGTGATATCTGGCTGTGTAAATACAATTGACTTGACATGATAAAGAAGCCTATTTTGTAGAGTTTTAATACATGATGTCAAAGCTTGTCAAGTGAAATACACCATGTGACAGATGACACAAGGTGCTTCAACGAGTTATAAAGTTTGGAAAGTTTTGCAATTAAACTATTTAACACTAAAAAACACATCTTAAGTATGGCAGCATTTTTTAATTATACAAATGTATAAGTCATAAAAGTAAGAATTAACTATTGATCATAGCATTTTGTCACATGTCCACTCATATAAAGCCTTAAGAGTGGTCACTTGGCCTTAACTACGGCAATAAAGTACGTTAATTGTAATCACATCAACAATATGTGAACCTGGACAATGAATGCATTAATTATTTGACTGTACATATTGCACAATAACACCAACATTTAATGCATCACACCTAGACGAGAAGTACCATGCAGGCTTTTAGGATTTTTAAAACTCAAATATGAGATTGGAAGTATTAAAATCAGCCCCAAGCTTAAATGGATGTTTTAAGTTTTGCAAGCCACCAGATGTCACTGTACTGTCAAATCTGTTTTCACCATTAACTGAAAGAAAACCAAATAATCATAAGGCTTCATCCGTTTGATACAATGTGAAGTTGAGTCTTTTTGAGTTTATCAAGTTCAACAGGTGCTTACTTGCTTACATTTAGTCAAACCCAGTCAGCACGTCAGGTATTCTCACCTGACACTGTGGAGGTTCCCGGGCAAAGCTCTTCCTCCACATCATCATCATCATCTGGGGCAATAACAGTGGTGTCTTTGCCATAGGATATACTGGCTGGCTGCATATTACACACTGTTAACTGATAAAGGCAGGTATGAGCCTAAAACAGAGAGGAATCAAATAAGTAGATCATCATATTTAGCTTTAATGCATTTGAAATGAGGACTTTATGAGTTATTTTTCTCTTAATGACTTCCATTTCATTACCTTTAGTCCAAACCGGTGTATGGATGGCTTCAGTGGGTTGACGGTACGATAGTGGCTGTTAGAGATGGTATGCAGTCTGTGAGATGATGATGGTTTATTGACAGTAAAACCTCTATGTAAACAAACTATTTTTGAACACGTGGATCTGCAGGGGCTCAACAGAAAGCGACCGAGGAGCATGACACACACGCGAGACAAACTTCTGCTTATGTTACTGGCGTTTACAGCTGGGTATTTGAAGACACGTCAAAGCTAACTAATAGCTAACCTAGCTGCTAAAACAGAGAATATTAACCTTAAACTGTCCTCGGAAAAGTGAAGGACGTGTAGCCTGTAGAGACAGACTTGTCCTCCCTGTAGCTAACACCTGCTGAAATTAATCAAGCTGCCATGCTGCAGAACACCTTTGAGCTAACTGTAAGCTAACTGTTGTGCTGGTAATTGTTTAAACTAATATAACTTCTTGATAAATTGCCATAGTGTTGATGCTGCAGAAAACTCGTTGGTGGCCGTTTTTGTCAGAAGAAAAGTCAAAAAATGTAACGGGAAAAAAACATTTATCTTCACAGCACGCGCTAACAGAAAGCAGCTTCTATTTGTAAACAATGTTCCACTTCCGGCCTGGCTTTTCAGAACAAAATAGATTCTCTCTTTCCAGAATAAAAGCATGGGGAATTCGACATGTTAAAATATTTTCCTTTAATTAAAGATTAACTTAAATAATGTAATATAGTTGAGATAATTTGTTATAACAACTGTAACCTGCTAGTCTGGACATATAATATACTAATCATTATATGTAATGACGGAACTGTTTCTTGTTTAACATTTTTCTTTTTTATAATCAGCAGAGTTTATTATTCAATTGCAGTGCATTTTGATCAATAATAATCTTAAATGTTAAAACATGTAAAAATACATGTTCCAAGTTCACGACAGCTAGAGAAATATTTATTATATCAAAAAAAGACTACAGACAATATGATTACACTCGTAATGCATTTGTATCTGAAGTAATAAGTATTTTTAGAATCAGGTACAGCAAAAATGCACAATAATGTATTTAGCCATAATATATCAATTTTATTTTAATGTTTGCAGTAATTGTAGTATTTGGCCTAGATAGATATTCAAAGGTCATCATTTTGCCCCCCTAAGGAACTTTGTGGCACTCTTTAATCAAATGTAAGTTCACATCTAATTATAAACAGAAACAACAATATAAACTGGACACTGGATATTTGATATTTGATTACGAGAAAAGCATTTTCTGAAAAGATAAGTCTGATGTCAGTGGCAGCTCACAATAAAACAAAAATGTAAACTGCCAAAACACAAGTTAGATGAAGAATGTATGCAATGTAATGATTTAAATGATTACGGACATCATTAGAACACAAATCAGTAGCTACATTTTTTACAAATGAGGATAAAATAATTTTTACACAATCGGTAGGAAAGTCAAATCCAACATGTCTTGTTCAAATTTTTACTGTTTGACTTGTGCTGGTTGTGCTTCATTACACTTTGTTGCTTTACTTAACCCAATCATATAAATAATAGACGACTGCTCCCACCATTCGTGTTATTGTTGCCAGTGATCCAGTATTTCCAGCAGCCACAACCAGGGCATTTGAAATGGTGCACTCCTGTATTTTGTTTTTTATATTGCAAACAGCAGCTGTATTTTCTTCACAGAATCCATGTTTCGTCTCGTGGAAGAAAACGTTGACTTGCAGCTGAACGTTAGCCCTGGTTGCACCTTTGGAATGAACTTGGCCTCATATGCATGTGAATGAGGCATATGCATGTGCATCAAAACCAGAATGACAGGTTTATCACCTGAGGACACAAAAAGAGAGGAGGACAAATTAGATAATCAAGGAGGAAGCTCTAATGTAAGATTTGGTGTGAAAAGCAATTCTAAGAGACGCAGACGATACATGATCATCAAAACATGTAGCTTTTTTGTTTAATTATAAATACCAATATAGGTATATTCCTTAATAAATACATAAATATTTTGGTAACCTAACTTTGCTTACACAAGTAAGAGTTAACCTATATGTTCATTCAAATGTATAATCCATTTCCATTCAGTATGAACCGGCTGAAACAAAAGTTCCCTTACCTTCAACATCTCTCAGGGCTGACTCAACATCTGGCCCCATGCCCTAATGTATTCCTCCTGATTGACTTTTATATAGATATTCTTGAATAACAAAAACGTTTTTTTATTAGTTGATGGCCTAACAACTGCAAGTTAAAGAAGCTGGCATTTCATTGGAGTCTTCCTTATACTACTCACAACATATCAGTATGTGTTTAACTCTAAGATGATAGTATCGGATGTTCAGCATGTATTAGGCTACATCAACAGAAATAAAACAATTCTCATTTCATGAACAAAAGCCTTAGAATCCAATCATTTATTTGACATTTTTATTTCATGACTGCTCCTCCGTATGTGACTTACAGTATTTGATGCTCAGTTTTGATGGCTGCATTTGACTTAGTGTCCACCAACCACGTGAATATCCATATAAAATATATCAAGGCTTTAATAAGCTTCAATATACAGTAGAGGTTCAAATAAAACTTACTTCTAAAACTGATTGCGATTCAATTTTCCTGCCATAACAATGAGGTTACATTTAAGATACAGTACAATTAATGTAAATTAATCCAAAAACCTTATAACGTTTGTTGGATTCCTATAGTTTTTTTAAATTATCAGAGTGTATTATTCATTTGGGTCAACACTATTCTTGAACTATTTACGTCAAAAATATACATGTTCCAGCTTCATGATGTTATGTCATATAAACAATATCTAAAAAGGACTTCAGACAAAGTGATTGCACCTGCTGTAACGAGTTTATAGAAAGTATTAAGTATATCGTCTTCACACATAAACTCTGGGAAACAAATCTTTAGAAGTAATTGCAGCAAGAATTAACATTCATGCATGAAAACCAAATATACTGTGCTGCTCATTTTATTCTAATATTTTCAAAAATAATTACATTTCTGGCGTATGTATGTATTCGAAAGGTAATCTTTTGGCAAATGACTAAGCTTTGTTGCACTCTTTAATCACTTACTTTACATTCATGTCATAATACAGTTATAGAGAAACCACAGTAGCAACTGGAGAAATCTTACACAGAGATAAATAATTGGACTACAAATTAGTAGCCAACCTCTCTTCTCAAAAAGGAGAATACAATTAAGTTTTCAGATTATGGTAGAAGAGTAAAATCAAAACTGTCTGATAAATCACATTTTGACTGCTTGACTTGTGTTGTTAGTGATCCATTACACTTTGTTGTTTTACTTGAGAGGAAGACATATCATTGTTGCTCGCACCAACACTGCCAAATCTAAAGTTAAGTTGTTAAGATAATCTATAATACACGTGTTATTCATTTAGTTTACAGGAAAAAGGCCCATCTATAGGCAATCAGCTGAAGTCTTCACCAGCAGTTGGATACATTAGCATGTGTGGTAGCTGCTAAATAAGGTCATGAACTCAAATTAAATGGAAATTGGGCGAAGAAGCCCCCGCCCGTCTTGATTTTGTCAGATTTTCCAGAATGTCCAGCAGCCCAGTGGCGGAGCCAGGACATTTTCAGTGGGGTGGCCAGCATGGAACCAGTGATCATTTTGGGGTGGCATTGAAATCACTATTATATGAACATAAAAATACATCTCACTATAAATAAGGGGTTATTTAAGGCACCTACAACACACCTCTACATTATTTGGGATTAAGCTAGTGGTGGAATAGATCAAATAATATTCAGTATATCCAACTATCTTTTTCTTATTCCCACAGGCAAAGTAACAAAGAAGCTTACATTATACAAATGTAGTGCAATATATAGACTGTTTAGCTTATGGTGATCAGCAGCACTATGAGCTCATTCTCTCAGGAATACACACACATAATTTAAATAAGAGTTTTTTTAATTCAATTATTGGTTAAGAATAAACATCTTAAAGTAAATAACAATAAACAATAGCCCTTAACCCTGTAAGGCCCCCGGTTGTAATTTTACAACATTTACAAGCTATCCAAAAAAGTCAGTAAATGTTTTTGTTTTTTTAAAAGACTACATTTACATAGTAAAAAAAAAAGGTCCTTTTGTTCAGCCTCACAATGCTATTGGGTAGTAAATGTTTAAGTAAAAGAAAGTAAATTATTATTTAAAATGGACTACGCTTAGCTAACAGACTAATTTCCACCACTCATTGACCACACCCACCTTTTCTCTTGAAAAACTGGGTGACATACTGTCGCCCTTTAGTCCCTCTCTCTAATCTTTCTCTCCTTTCTTTTCTTTTCGAAAGCCTGACTTTGTGAGTCGTTGAGACATCGTACACACGTAAGTACTAGCATCCCTGCACCTAACATGCTCTCCTCTCTGCTAGAAACTTTAAAGTGCCGTTTGGAGGCGGAGGCGGGACCAAACCATTACATGTACAGGGATGCAAACTTGTCACCTTTCGGCGAAATTCGCCATTTTGAATCCAAAATAGGTCGTTTGTGTGATTCATGTAGATCTGCAATAAAAATATTTTGGGGTATGGGGGGGGGGGTCTGGGACCCGGAGTAATCTGTGGCCGCGAGCTGTTATGTGCCATCATGACACGCATGGTGTTCTTTTTTTATATATTATAATGAAGCGCGAGCTGTGTGCTCGAGTCTTCCTGCCTGTCGGCTCTGCTCATGGATGTATAATAAGGCTCTGCTGCTCCGCGATGATAGTCTAGCTTCAGCAGCTACATTACCTACGGTGCGTTCATTAATATTAACTGTGTGGTCCGGAGTTACTGTGGCACAGACTGGACCGCTGGTGAACAGCTGTTAGAACGGGCCGTTCAGGTGTTCAGAGCAGAGCTCCCTGTCGGAGCGGCAGGGCGTGATGTGCACTGAAAAGTTTTTCTCTCGCAATATTATCGTTGAGCTAGCTAACTAACATACATTGTCACTATCTGCTAACGTTAGCTTTCGTTTTCTAATAGTTTTTTTCATAGGCTATAAACGGAGGTGGTATAAGTATAGATCTTGTACTTGAGTAAAAGTAGAAGTACTCAGATCTTGTACTAGAGTAAAAGTAGAAGTACTCAGGTCTTGTACTTGAGTAAAAGTAGAAGTACCAGAATGTAGGAACAATCCTGCAATCAAAATGTTCCTCAAATAAAAGTACAAAAGTATCATCAAAATATAGTTAAAGTAGCGACAGTAAAAGTAGTCATTGTGCAGATTGGTCCATTTCAGAATAATATATATGATGTGTTTTATAATGATTGATCATGAAAGTGTTCTCAAAGCTGGTAAAGGTGCAGCTAGTTTGAATGACTTTGTATACTGCAGGGTAGCTTGTGAATTTACTCCAGGTGGAACTAAAGTCTGATTTAACACTTGATTATATTTCACATCATTCATCCAGATCTGTAAAGTAACTAAAGGGATTAAATACCATTTACCTCTGAACTGTAGAGGAGAAGAAGAACAAAGTAGCAAAACATTGAAATACTTAAATAAAGTACAAGTATCTCAAAATTGTACCCAAGTATAGTACTTGAGTGTATGAACTTATGGCGCATTTCCACTACACGGTCGGCCTCGGCCACACTCGGTACGGCTCGGTACGGCTTGGCCGCGTTGGGCCTTAACAGGGCCGACTCACTTCATGCTGCGCTTCCATTACAGTTTAGGAACTGGGGTAGTTACTATAGTAACGCAGTGTAGGCGGAGCCGTGACGTCATCTTCAATGAGAAATCCAGAAACACAACACAGCCGTTAGCTGTGAGCACTCAGAGCTCACAGCTCCTTATATATGTTCAGAAACTCGACAAAAGTTAAACAAGTACACACCACAGACTGCCTGTGTCATGGTGAATACAGTCGCTGCTTTATTTATGTCTGTATAGGCCGTTGTTGTGAGTGTGGACGGTCGGGGCATATACTGCGTTAGCTTAGCCAATCTCCATCTAGAAAAACACGAATTTTAAAAGGTTTTTCGCCTGCCGTCTGTCTGCAGACTTGACAAAGCATTAATTCATGGTTTTTACTAACCGGTATCAGTATGTTGTTACTTCGGCATCATTTTGAAACGTGTATTACAATTAAATCACGGTCAAATATGTACATCTTGTTGTAGTTCTAGCCCTCTTGCCAGCGCTCCTCTCTCTAGTTTAGCATACTCAGCCCGACTCAGCCCTGTTTGTTGGCCCCGATAGAACCACAATTTTCTAGGGCCAGAAAAGAGGGGAAAAAGTGGCCCCGCGCCGTGCCGCGCCGGAACGAGGCCTAGTGGAAGCACAACCAAAAAAGGGGACGGCACGACACGGCACGCTTAAAGCGAGCTACGCGCTGCAATGGAAATGCGCCATTAGTTACTTTACACCACTGGCTATAAAGATATAAAGACTAAGCCTTGAACAGAGGCATGAAAATACATTTTCAAAATGCTCAACAGTGCTGCCAAAATTATAAACTGACTGTTACACAATTAAAATAAATGCTTTTATATATTTCTATTAGATGTGACTCTTTGGCGTTTCTGTTATTATTAACTGCTTTAGTTGTTCTGACTGCTAAAATCCTCTGTTATTCCTCATTTTAAAGCCGATATTCCGTGGGGTCGGGGGGCTCGGATCCTTGTCACCTTTTTCATACCTGATGAGTTTGCATCCCTGCATGTAAATAGAAGGGGGTGTACAGAGGCTTTGGATAATTAACTTTTGGAAGAAAATAAGTTAAATGAATTTTAAGTTTAGTGAGTACATTATCAATATAACGTTATATTAATGTTAATTATTGATGAATGATGAAAGGTTACTTAAACATTTTTTTCTTAATGTTCTAAAATGGTTTGGGCCCCCGTGGTGAGGGTGTTTAGTGTAGCCAACGGGGTGTCCAGGATGCCCACTCCCAGCTACCCGGCAGCTCCGCCACTGCAGCAGCCACAACCTGGGCATTTGTAATGGGGATCTCTTTTAAATATTTTGTTATCTCGCAAACAACAGCTCCATTTTCTCCACAGTTGAGTAATCCATGTTTCGTCTCGTGGAAGAAAACGTTGACTTGCAGCTGAACGTTAGCTCCTTGTTGCACATTTGGAATGAACTTGGCCTCATATGCGTGGTGCATCAAAACCAGAATGACAGGTTTATCGCCTGAGGACACAAAAAGAGAGGAGGACAAATGAGATCATTAGGGAGGAAAATGGTAGATTAAAGCTCTAAATGTAAAGTTTGGTGTGGAAAGCAATCCTAAGAAATTATAAATGATAATCAAAACATGTAGCTTATATGTTTAATTATAAATATCAATATACTGTATATTCCTTAATAAAAACATCAATATTTTTGATAACCTGACTATGCTTACACAGGTAAGAAAGAACCTTTATGTGAATACAAATGTAGAAGCCATTTCCATTCAGTATGAACAGGCTGAAACAAATGTTCCCTTACCTTTAACATCTCTCATGGCTGACTCAACATCTGGCCCCATGCGATAAACGATGGGGCAGAAGACAATAGTGACGTCGTAGTCGTCGCTGTTGCTTTGAACAAGATCAAACTGATCCTTAACGTCCTTCTTCACTTTCTCCATCAGTTGAACATGGGCATCAAAGGTTGTCCCGGTAACAACCATCTGGTACACCAATTTGGCTGTTGGGAGGAAAATGGATGTAAATATCAAAGAGATTAATACACAAACATAACTTGAGAGAACCTACACTAGAATAAAATGATGTGTTTTGCTATGCAGTTCCAAAACAATCGTTAAAACAAATTTGAACATCTGAGTTTCTAACTATCCAACTATGACTCATCTTTCCATTTATTCACAACCTTGGAGGGCTCTTCTGATGAGAAAAAACAGCAACATCAATTAGTCAGGTTCATTCACAATATCATTCAAAAGTTTGTGATCTCCTTCCATTAAAGCTTGATTGGACACAGTGAAATGGCTGAGAGGACTACTTTATATTACTTTACTCTAAGGTTGGAGAGAGTATGCTTTACACACAGATCTTCTTTTTATTATGAAATGTTTGCAAAAAAAGTCATGTTTTCCATGAAGAACTAACACTGTTTCTCACAACAGAAATAGATGCTTAGTCTTACAGGTTAGCACTCAGTATAACATCATCAGTGAACATGAACTGAAAATGCTATGGACAAACAAATCACAGTTTATCCCTATTTCATTTGACCACAGTAGACCCAAAGAGGAACAATTTCCCCAAACATCCGGTTGTGGCTAAAAATGACTTGACTGTCACATACGCTCTTCTGAACTGATAAACAATTTAAAATCGAAGGGTCTTTGGAGGGAAATGTGGTAACAAACAGTTATCTCCCTTGTCAGGCAAACTCTGAGACCATCAGCTTTGTAGAAGATGTACTCATTGAATTGTTTTTCTTTTGCTATTTCAATATAAATAATACATTTGTGTCTGAATTATAATTTTGGGGATTTTTCAATAAAACAAATGATTCCAAACTTTCTACCAGTCATGTAGAATTTGAAAAAACTCTGCTGTTGTAAACATGAACAAACATTGACATGAGAAAATTCTTGAAGAAGAAACATTTCAAAATCAACTCCAAAAGGGACATTCATTTTGGGTTATAAGCTCAAAGTGTTCTACTTATACATTAGACCAACCATGGATAGGGTATTTCCGTGTGTCAAAGACAATGTCAAGGAAATAGCATAATTAAATTACTGACAAAAAAATAAACCATATAGATTTGATTAACTGAGCACATATGTCTGCTAAGGTGGACAGATGTTTACCCTTTACCCAGTAGGCCAAAGTCTGGGATGACATACTCTAAACTCAAAGTTCAGTGACAAGCATTTCCAGGGCTTTTCACCGTACCAAAATAGCAAGTATGTGCCAAATGTGAAAGTGAAAGGGATGTTAAAAGGCTGTACATACCCTTGGAAGGGATGCCGTTATTCACCCCTGTGGGGGGGGGCTGTTTAACGGGCTTCTGAAACAAAAATGTTATATTACAGAAATATTGAATGACTTAATTAAGGCCTAGTTTCTATGTAGCCTCTATTAAATCTCACATTTTAGTTTGAAAGCTCACCTGATTTGAGGGTGTTTGGTGTGGCCAACGGGGTGGACAGCATGCCGACTCCCAGCCACCCGGCAGCTCCGCCACTGCAGCAGCCACAACCTGGGCATTTGTAATGGGGATCTCTTTTAAATGTTTTATTATCTCGCAAACAACAGCTCCATTTTCTCCACAGTGGAGAAGTCCATGTTTTGTCTCGTGGAAGAAAACGTTGACTTGCAGCTGAACGTTAGCTCCTTGTTGCACATTTGGAATGAACTTGGCCTCATATGCGTGGTGCATCAAAACCAGAATGACAGGTTTATTGCCTGAGGACACAAAAAGAGAGGAAGGACAAATGAGATCATTAGGGAGGAAAATGGTAGATTAAAGCTCTAAATGTAAGGTTTGGTGTGGAAAGCAATCCTAAGAAATGATAAATGATAATCAAAACATGTAGCTTACATGTTTAATTATAAATACCAATATAGGTATATTCCTTAATAAAAACATCAATATTTTGGTAACCTGACTATGCTTACACAGGTAAGAAAGAACCTTTATGTGAATACAAATGTAGAAGCCATTTCCATTCAGTATGAACAGGCTGAAACAAATGTTCCCTTACCTTGAACGTCTCTCATGGCTGACTCAACATCTGGCCCCATGCGAGAAACGATGGGGCAGAAGACAATAGTGACGTCGTAGTCGTTGCTGTAGCTTTGAACAAGATCAAACTGATCCTTTACGTCCTTCTTCACTTTCTCCATCAGTTGAACATGGGCATCAAAGGTTGTCCCGGTAACAACCATCTGGTACATCAATTTGGCTGTTGGGAGGAAAATGGATGTAAATATCAAAGAGATTAATACACAAACATAACTTGAGAGAACCTACACTAGAATGAAATGATGTGTTTTGCTATGCAGTTCCAACAAAATTGTTAAAACAAATTTGAACATCTGAGTTTCTAACTATCCAACTATGACTCACCTTTCCATTTATTCACAACCTTGGAGGGCTCTTCTGATGAGAAAACCAGCAACATCAATTAGTCAGGTTCATTCACAATATCATTCAAAAGTTTGTGATCTCCTTCCATTAAAGCTTGATTGGACACAGTGAAATGGCTGAGAGGACTACTTTATATGACTTTACTCTAAGGTTGGAGAGAGTATGCTTTACACACAGATCTTCTTTTTATTATGAAATGTTTGCAAAAAAAGTCATGTTTTCCATGAAGAACTAACACTGTTTCTCACAACAGAAATAGATGCTTAGTCTTACAGGTTAGCACTCAGTATAACATCATCAGTGAACATGAACTGAAAATGCTATGGACAAACAAATCACAGTGTATCCCTATTTCATTTGACCACAGTAGACCCAAAGAGGAACAATTTCCCCAAACATCCGGTTGTGGCTAAAAATGACTTGACTGTCACATACGCTCTTCTGAACTGATAAACAATTTAAAATCGAAGGGTCTTTGGAGGGAAATGTGGTAACAAACAGTTATCTCCCTTGTCAGGCAAACTCTGAGACCATCAGCTTTGTAGAAGATGTACTCATTGAATTGTTTTTCTTTTGCTATTTCAATATAAATAATACATTTGTGTCTGAATTATAATTTTGGGGATTTTTCAATAAAACAAATGATTCCAAACTTTCTACCAGTCATGTAGAATTTGAAAAAACTCTGCTGTTGTAAACATGAACAAACATTGACATGAGAAAATTCTTGAAGAAGAAACATTTCAAAATCAACTCCAAAAGGGACATTCATTTTGGGTTATAAGCTCAAAGTGTTCTACTTATACATTAGACCAACCATGGATAGGGTATTTCCGTGTGTCAAAGACAATGTCAAGGAAATAGCATAATTAAATTACTGACAAAAAAATAAACCATATAGATTTGATTAACTGAGCACATATGTCTGCTAAGGTGGACAGATGTTTACCCTTTACCCAGTAGGCCAAAGTCTGGGATGACATACTCTAAACTCAAAGTTCAGTGACAAGCATTTCCAGGGCTTTTCACCGTACCAAAATAGCAAGTATGTGCCAAATGTGAAAGTGAAAGGGATGTTAAAAGGCTGTACATACCCTTGGAAGGGATGCCGTTATTCACCCCTGTGGGGGGGGGCTGTTTAACGGGCTTCTGAAACAAAAATGTTATATTACAGAAATATTGAATGACTTAATTAAGGCCTAGTTTCTATGTAGCCTCTATTAAATCTCACATTTTAGTTTGAAAGCTCACCTGATTTGAGGGTGTTTGGTGTGGCCAACGGGGTGGACAGCATGCCGACTCCCAGCCACCCGGCAGCTCCGCCACTGCAGCAGCCACAACCTGGGCATTTGTAATGGGGATCTCTTTTAAATGTTTTATTATCTCGCAAACAACAGCTCCATTTTCTCCACAGTGGAGAAGTCCATGTTTTGTCTCGTGGAAGAAAACGTTGACTTGCAGCTGAACGTTAGCTCCTTGTTGCACATTTGGAATGAACTTGGCCTCATATGCGTGGTGCATCAAAACCAGAATGACAGGTTTATTGCCTGAGGACACAAAAAGAGAGGAGGACAAATGAGATCATTAGGGAGGAAAATGGTAGATTAAAGCTCTAAATGTAAGGTTTGGTGTGGAAAGCAATCCTAAGAAATGATAAATGATAATCAAAACATGTAGCTTACATGTTTAATTATAAATACCAATATAGGTATATTCCTTAATAAAAACATCAATATTTTGGTAACCTGACTATGCTTACACAGGTAAGAAAGAACCTTTATGTGAATACAAATGTAGAAGCCATTTCCATTCAGTATGAACAGGCTGAAACAAATGTTCCCTTACCTTGAACGTCTCTCATGGCTGACTCAACATCTGGCCCCATGCGAGAAACGATGGGGCAGAAGACAATAGTGACGTCGTAGTCGTTGCTGTAGCTTTGAACAAGATCAAACTGATCCTTTACGTCCTTCTTCACTTTCTCCATCAGTTGAACATGGGCATCAAAGGTTGTCCCGGTAACAACCATCTGGTACATCAATTTGGCTGTTGGGAGGAAAATGGATGTAAATATCAAAGAGATTAATACACAAACATAACTTGAGAGAACCTACACTAGAATGAAATGATGTGTTTTGCTATGCAGTTCCAACAAAATTGTTAAAACAAATTTGAACATCTGAGTTTCTAACTATCCAACTATGACTCACCTTTCCATTTATTCACAACCTTGGAGGGCTCTTCTGATGAGAAAACCAGCAACATCAATTAGTCAGGTTCATTCACAATATCATTCAAAAGTTTGTGATCTCCTTCCATTAAAGCTTGATTGGACACAGTGAAATGGCTGAGAGGACTACTTTATATGACTTTACTCTAAGGTTGGAGAGAGTATGCTTTACACACAGATCTTCTTTTTATTATGAAATGTTTGCAAAAAAAGTCATGTTTTCCATGAAGAACTAACACTGTTTCTCACAACAGAAATAGATGCTTAGTCTTACAGGTTAGCACTCAGTATAACATCATCAGTGAACATGAACTGAAAATGCTATGGACAAACAAATCACAGTGTATCCCTATTTCATTTGACCACAGTAGACCCAAAGAGGAACAATTTCCCCAAACATCCGGTTGTGGCTAAAAATGACTTGACTGTCACATACGCTCTTCTGAACTGATAAACAATTTAAAATCGAAGGGTCTTTGGAGGGAAATGTGGTAACAAACAGTTATCTCCCTTGTCAGGCAAACTCTGAGACCATCAGCTTTGTAGAAGATGTACTCATTGAATTGTTTTTCTTTTGCTATTTCAATATAAATAATACATTTGTGTCTGAATTATAATTTTGGGGATTTTTCAATAAAACAAATGATTCCAAACTTTCTACCAGTCATGTAGAATTTGAAAAAACTCTGCTGTTGTAAACATGAACAAACATTGACATGAGAAAATTCTTGAAGAAGAAACATTTCAAAATCAACTCCAAAAGGGACATTCATTTTGGGTTATAAGCTCAAAGTGTTCTACTTATACATTAGACCAACCATGGATAGGGTATTTCCGTGTGTCAAAGACAATGTCAAGGAAATAGCATAATTAAATTACTGACAAAAAAATAAACCATATAGATTTGATTAACTGAGCACATATGTCTGCTAAGGTGGACAGATGTTTACCCTTTACCCAGTAGGACAAAGTCTGGGATGACATACTCTAAACTCAAAGTTCAGTGACAAGCATTTCCAGGGCTTTTCACCGTACCAAAATAGCAAGTATGTGCCAAATGTGAAAGTGAAAGGGATGTTAAAAGGCTGTACATACCCTTGGAAGGGATGCCGTTATTCACCCCTGTGGGGGGGGGCTGTTTAACGGGCTTCTGAAACAAAATGTTATATTACAGAAATATTGAATGACTTAATTAAGGCCTAGTTTCTATGTAGCCTCTATTAAATCTCACATTTTAGTTTGAAAGCTCACCTGATTTGAGGGTGTTTGGTGTGGCCAACGGGGTGGACAGCATGCCGACTCCCAGCCACCCGGCAGCTCCGCCACTGCAGCAGCCACAACCTGGGCATTTGTAATGGGGATCTCTTTTAAATGTTTTATTATCTCGCAAACAACAGCTCCATTTTCTCCACAGTGGAGAAGTCCATGTTTTGTCTCGTGGAAGAAAACGTTGACTTGCAGCTGAACGTTAGCTCCTTGTTGCACATTTGGAATGAACTTGGCCTCATATGCGTGGTGCATCAAAACCAGAATGACAGGTTTATTGCCTGAGGAACACAAAAAGAGAGGAGACAAATGAGAATCAAATTAGGGAGGAAAATGGTAGATTAAAGCTTTACATTATCCTCTTCAGAAGAAGACTGCACAGGCATAGTTCACCATCTTTAACACGTTTGTTTGAGGCTAAAACAATGGTGTGGTAATGGAAAGGTTTTTGTTTGAGACAAGCAACATTGTAAAAGTGGAAATAAAAGCAGTTGATGGTCTCTGTATCTAAAACTTAAAATAGATCAGATTCTTTGAAAGGTAAATATTAAAACCACAATTGAATAAGCTTTTTTTTTTTAAGACAATAAAGGTGTTATCACTTTGCGTTGATTTAGCTCAATAAACCCCTAATGTATTCCTCCTGGTTGACTTGTATATAAATATACTTGAATAACAAAAACGTTTTTTTATTAGTTGATGGTCTAACAACTGCAAGTTAAAGAAGCTGGGATTTCATTGGAGTCTTCCTTACACTACTCACAACATATCAGTATGTGTTTAACTCTAAGATGATAGTATCGGATGTTCAGTTGTGAGCATGTATTAGGCTACATCAACAGAAATGAAACAATTCTCATTTCATGAACAAAAGCCTTAGAATCCAAGAATTTATTTGACATTTTTATTTCATGACTGCTCCTCTGCATGTGACTTACATTATTGGATGCTCAGTTTTGATGGCTGCATTTTACCACCAACCACGTGAATATCCATATAAAATATATCAAAGCTTAAATAAGCTTCGATAGTTTAAATAAAACTTACCTCTAAAACTGATTGCGATTCAATTTCCCTGCCACAACAATGAGGTTACATTTAAGATACAAAGAATGTTAATTAATCCAAAAACCGTATCATAACGTTTGTTAGATTCCTATAGGTTTTTTTTAATTATCAGTGTATTATTCATTTGGGTCAACACTATTCTTGAACTATTTATGTCAATAAGATACATGTTCCAGCTTCAGGATGTTATGTCATATAAACTATATCTAAAAAAGGACTTCAGACAAAGTGATTGCACCTGCTGTAACGGCAGTTTATAGAAAGTATTAAGTATATCGTCATCACACATAACATATACTCTGGGAAACAAATCTTTAGAATTAATTGCTATTGCTGCTATTAATATGCACCAAGAATTAACATTCATGCATTAAAACCAAATATACTGTGCTGCTCATTTTATTCTAATATTTGCAGCAATAATTACATTTCTGGCGTATGTATGTATTCGAAAGGTAATCTTTTGGCAAATGACTAAGCTTTGTTGCACTCTTTAATCACTTACTTTACATTCATGTCATAATACAGTTATAGAGAAACCACAGTAGCAACTGGAGAAATATTACACAGAGATATAAATAATTGCACTACAAATTAGTAGCCAACCTCTCTTCTCAAAAAGGAGAATACAATTAAGTTTTCAGATTATGGTAGAAGAGTAAAATCAAAACTGTCTGATAAATCACATTTTGACTGCTTGACTTGTGTTGTTAGTGATCCATTACACTTTGTTGTTTTACTTGAGAGGAAAACATATCATCGTTGCTCGCACCAACACTGCCAAATCTAAAGTCAAGTAAATTAATCTTTGGAGGTAAAAGGCCCAAATGCCCACGCCTTGATTTGGTCCGATATTCCAGAATGTCCAGCAGCCACAACCTGGGCATTTGGAATGGGGATCTCTTTTAAATATTTTGTTATCTCGCAAACAGCAGCTCCATTTTCTCTACAGTGGAGCAGTCCATGTTTCGTCTCGTGGAAGAAAACGTTGACTTGCAGCTGAACGTTAGCTCCTTGTTGCACATTTGGAATGAACTTGGTCTCATATGCGTGGTGCATCAAAACCAGAATGACAGGTTTATCACCTGAGGACACAAAAAGAGAGGAGGACAAATGAGATCATTAGGGAGGAAAATGGTAGATTAAAGCTCTAAATGTAAAGTTTGGTGTGGAAAGCAATCCTAAGAAATGATAAATGATAATCAAAACATGTAGCTTATATGTTTAATTATAAATACCAATATACTGTATATTCCTTAATAAAAAGATCAATATTTTTGGTAACCTGACTATGCTTACACAGGTAAGAAAGAACCTTTATGTGAATACAAATGTAGAAGCCATTTCCATTCAGTATGAACAGGCTGAAACAAATGTTCCCTTACCTTTAACGTCTCTCATGGCTGACTCAACATCTGGCCCCATGTGAGAAACGATGGGGCAGAAGACAATAGTGACGTCGTAGTCGTCGCTGTTGCTTTGAACAAGATTAAACTGATCCTTTACGTCCTTCTTCACTTTCTCCATCAGTTGAACATGGGCATCAAAGGTTGTCCCGGTAACAACCATCTGGTACACCAATTTGGCTGTTGGGAGGAAAATGGATGTAAATATCAAAGAGATTAATACACAAACATAACTTGAGAGAACCTACACTAGAATAAAATGATGTGTTTTGCTATGCAGTTCCAAAACAATCGTTAAAACAAATTTGAACATCTGAGTTTCTAACTATCCAACTATGACTCACCTTTCCATTTATTCACAACCTTGGAGGGCTCTTCTGATGAGAAAAAACAGCAACATCAATTAGTCAGGTTCATTCACAATATCATTCAAAAGTTTGTGATCTCCTTCCATTAAAGCTTGATTGGACACAGTGAAATGGCTGAGAGGACTACTTTATATTACTTTACTCTAAGGTTGGAGAGAGTATGCTTTACACACAGATCTTCTTTTTATTATGAAATGTTTGCAAAAAAAGTCATGTTTTCCATGAAGAACGAACACTGTTTCTCACAACAGAAATAGATGCTTAGTCTTACAGGTTAGCACTCAGTATAACATCATCAGTGAACATGAACTGAAAATGCTATGGACAAACAAATCACAGTTTATCCCTATTTCATTTGACCACAGTAGACCCAAAGAGGAACAATTTTCCCAAACATCCGGTTGTGGCTAAAAATAACTTGACTGTCACATACGCTCTTCTGAACTGATAAACAATTTAAAATCGAAGGGTCTTTGGAGGGAAATGTGGTAACAAACAGTTATCTCCCTTGTCAGGCGAACTCTGAGACCATCAGCTTTGTAGAAGATGTACTAATTTAATTGTTTTTCTTTTGCTATTTCAATATAAATAATACATTTGTGTCTGAATTATAATTTTGGGGATTTTTCAATAAAACACATGATTCCAAACTTTCTACCAGTCATGTAGAATTTGAAAAAACTCTGCTGTTGTAAACATGAACAAACATTGACATGAGAAAATTCTTGAAGAAGAAAAATAAATAGATTTACTTTTCGGTGGTGGTTGTTGATCAGAAGTGTCCTTCCTATCATCGGAGGAACCTGTTTTTGGAAAGCATAAATGTACTTACTGACTACATATCTTATAGCGTTTGATTTCAACATCAACTCCAAAAAGGACATTCATTTTGGGTTATAAGCTCAAAGTGTTCTACTTATACATTAGACCAACCATGGATAGGGTATTTCCGTGTGTCAAAGACAATGTCAAGGAAATAGCATAATTCAATTACTGACAACAAAATAAACCATATAGACTTGATTAACTGAGCACATATGTTTGCTAAGGTGGACAGATGTTTACCCTTTACTCAGTAGGCCAAAGTCTGGGATGACATACTCTAAACTCAAAGTTCAGTGACAAGCATTTCCAGGGCTTTTCACCGTACCAAAATAGCAAGTATGTGCCAAATGTGAAAGTGAAAGGGATGTTAAAAGGCTGTACATACCCCTGGAACGGTTGCCCCTGTGGGGTGAATAACGGCAACGGGCTTCTGAACGGGCTTCTGAAACAAAACGGGCTTCTGAAACAAAAATGTTATATTACAGAAATATTGAATTACTTAATTAAGGCCTAGTTTCTATGTAGCCTCTATTAAATCTCACATTTTAGTTTGAAAGCTCACCTGATTTTGTATCATTTCAAAGATCCTCCTTCTCAGTTTTAAGTTCTTTGGTCCAGGAAACAGCTGATTCAGTTCTTCTTGAGTCAGTGACCAGATGTCTGAGTCGCTGCATAAATCTGCCTCTGAAACAACATGGTTTATTGTATCCCTGCTTTTAAAGGTCCCATGTCATGCTTTTCTAGTTATTACCCGTCCCCTTGTGTGTTATGAAGGTTTTTATGCATGTAAACGGTCTGCAGAGTCACAAACCCTCAAAGTACACCCTGTAGCGAGTAAAACTATAACTCTGAAAAGACCTGTCTATGCTGCCTCAGAACGCCTCGTTGGAGATTTCTCTTTTTCTTCCTGGGTACAGTGACGTGCCCATACCGAAATGGACCCATCCGTGGAGCTTGTCACACACACACACTCTCTCAGCGGCGAAACTGTGACGCGCTGGGGGGGTGTGTGCTAGTGGAGCCTCGCAGCGGTGAAACTGTGGCGTGCTTACACTGTAGGTACGCTGCTTTTGGGGGTGCGGGGGGGCCCGTTAAACAGCCCCCCCCCACAGGGGTGCGGGTGCGGGTGCTAGTGGAGCCTCGCAGATGGGGGTGCTGCAGCCCCCTCAGCAACCCCCCCTTCCCGTGTCCATTCGCTATGTCTCGCAGATCCCACACAGCAAGCAGGAAATGAACCCAGCTCACACTGTCCGCTCCTCGCAACGTCCCGCCAACACAGCACCCAGACCCCACGCAGCATTCTCATCTGTTTGTCATTACTGGTGTCATTTTCTGGTTGCTAACAAACGCCATTGTAACACATAATCACTGATGTTCCGCTGTTACGGTGGTGGACTCATCAGAACAGAATGGGCGAGCTGACTAATCAGAGCACAATGGGCTCATGGGGAGGGGGGCAGGAGCTCCAACAAGGCGTTTAGGACAGAGAGTGAATACACATGCTCAACAGAGATGCTGTTTGAGAAACCAATGTGATTTTGGAAAATTGCACAATATAAATCTATTCTAGTAGACCTCAACAATGAAATTATGATCAGTAGAAATGGCCATGTCATGGGACCTTTAAAACTGAAAAATAGTACTATAACTATGCTAATGGTTTATTGTCAATAGTCACCCTCTATAAAATGGCCACTTACCTTGCAGAACTTTAGCAACATCCTGGTGTTCCTCCTTTATTTTCTCCAGTAAATCTGACATGACTTCACCTGCAGGGAAACAAAACAGACAGGCAGATTCAACACATGGATTCCATGACAGTGACAGTGGTTTTGAAAGGGTGTAACTCTCCTTTGGAAAGTGGTTTGGTCTTTATTGATAAAGATTCATAGAAACATGTACGAAGATATCAAGTGGAAGAGTGTGAGATTCACCGTCTGCTCCTTCAGGACAGTAATCATTGCGGGGCTTCGTCACATTCGTGACTGATTCCTGGTTTGGCTGACTCTGGATGTTTGCCAGAGAACAAATGCGACCATCAAGGAAACTCTGCACATCCTTCATGTGGGTCTGCATCTCCTTCAGGATAGGGAGGTTATCAACCAAGACCCCGTTGTCTGTTAGAGCATCTGAGAAGGAATCGGGTTGTGCTTGTAAGGATTTGGATTGCAATATTAACAGTTACTTATATTTCCTATCATTGTACACAAAACAAAATGGCAAGTGTGTGCCAATGTGAAAGTGAAAGTATTGTTTGAAATCACCTGAGATGTCTTTCATTTCTCTTAGAAGCTGAACAACAGACTTCTAAAACATAAGAAAATATATTATTCAAAATAAAGAATGATTTAGTGATTCGTTTTAATCTGTCATCTTTAATAAAATGTAACAATTTAAATGTTCAGCTCACCTGTTTGTGTATTATATCAAAGATGGTCCTCCTCAGTTTGATGTCCTTTTTTTCAGGAAACAGCTGATGCAGTTCTGCTCCAGTCAGTGACCGGATGTCAGAGTCGCTGCGTAAACCTGCGTCTGAAACAACACGGTTTGTTTTATCTATGCTTTTAAAACTGAAACATAGTACTATAACTATGCTAATGGTTTATTTTCAATAGTCACCCTCTATAAAATGGCCACTTACCTTGCAGAACTTTAGCAACATCCCGGTGTTCCTCCTTTATTTTCTCCAGTGAATCTGACATGACTTCACCTGCAGGGAAACAAAACAGACAGGCAGATTCAACACATGGATTCCAATGTAAATACTGAAGTCATATCTTATTTTTCTTGTGAAATATTTGGATACAAACCTACCTGAAGTGCTGACAAGCTCAATTCGAAAGACGAAGATTGTGAGAGGAAAACGAAAGTAATCTCTGATGTGATCGAAGCACACGATATGTGCTTGATTTCAATTATTTGGTAAATTATTAAAAGATGTAGATAACGTTATCCGTCAATCAATCAACTAAAACAATAGAATATTCTAGAAAGTATTTCCACTCTACCTTCGTAGTTCGCATACAATACCCTCCGTCAGCGCTGAGCCGAAAGTTAAAGTTAAAGTTAAACGATGTTTACTTATAAGGAGCCTCAAACTGTGATTGGTCGCTGGAGCAGCGTGATTGACACATCTGAAGTCCCGCCCTCTGAAACCCATTGTTGACATTTATTACGCATTACTCTCTATGGCAGAGTTGTCCAAACTATGGGGCCAATGGGCCAACTGCGGCCCATTGTCCATTTTGAAATGGTCATCAGCAAATTCTAAAAGTATAATGAAATATGGCCCCAACTTGTGCTTGACTTATGTTGAACTTTAAGAAATGAGTTGCCAACCATTTTTATAACAACATTAAATGAAACCCTATGGAAATCTGTGAATGCTGTTTGTTTTCTTAAAGCATATTCATGTATCAAGCATAATTGACCTACATTTATAACTTAACTTATTAGGCAATATACCTCACCTGAGGGGCCCAGCCCTTCCTACGTTTTTCTGTATGCGGCCCTCAGTGTATTATAATGTTCTGGCATCTATATCTACAGAGAGAGGAGATCATTTTGTTTGCTATGTGGTGGCTAGGGTTGGAAGGATAACTTTAAAAATGTAATGCGTTACAATTACTAGTTAACTGTAAAAAAAAAAAAAGTCATAGTAAAAGTAATATATAAAGAAATCTGAGTATCACAGTATAAAAGTAATGTAACCTGATTACTTTATGTTACTTTTGGATAACTTCAAATTCAAATGTAATACAAATAAATACAAGATAAAAGAAATATCGGTAAGATGTGTTTTCATTTAGCATAGTGTGTGACCTTAAAAAATAAGAAACCAAGAAATGTAGTATCAAAAAGGTGTCCTCCTATAATTTAGGCTATGGGATTACGAATAGCATAGTTTACAAATGCTGTTTTGCTGGGGGGCAACAGGGGCCAGTGCATGCAGGAAAAATAACAACACTTGTCATCTCCGACCAGCGGCTGTTCCCTTTTTAATTCAAGTAACATTCAAGCCTAGACGTTGAGAGACTAAAAATCCCAAAACCACAGGATATTGTTGCTGTAATCTGAAAGAAGAGAAACCCTCAGCCTGGGATGCAGAGACCCGGATGTACAGTAGAGATTCAACTATTCAGTGCCTTACAGTATATTCAGTGTTGCAGCAAATACTGTTTATGTCATTTCATTTAATTGTAACTTAGTAACTTAAACAAGTACTGTAAATATAAAAAAGTACTACTGAAACAAAGAACTGTAACTTAAAGTTACTGTAATAAATACCTGTACAGAACAAATACCAATTTCATATTTATTTTACACAATTACTTTAAACTGTCTTTGTCTTTTTTAACCCGCGTTTATTGTGCCCCTCTCAAAAGAATAACTACCACCCCTCCCCCTGTAAAATTGGTCTAGAACCGCCACCGCTAATAATAACATAATAGTTTTGAGTCTGTGGTGATTTGTGTTCACATTGTTTGCTGAGCTGTCGATATCTCGTTCAACTCAATGTTTTACAGTAGCCTAATCTGTTCACCTGCAGGTTGGTACAGCTAAACTCAGAGGTAGAGACACAAACAACATGTTAAGGTAAGTTTAGCTTTACATTATCCTCTTCAGAAGAAGACTGCACAGGCATAGTTCACCATCTTTAACACGTTTGTTTGAGGCTAAAACAATGGTGTGGTAATGGAAAGGTTTTTGTTTGAGACAAGCAACATTGTAAAAGTGGAAATAAAAGCAGTTGATGGTCTCTGTATCTACTGTAAAACTTAAAATAGATCAGATTCTTTGAAAGGTAAATATTAAAACCACAATTGAATAAGCTTTCTTTTTTTTAAGACAATAAAGGTGTTATCACTTTGCGTTGATTTAGCTCAATAAACCCCAAATGTATTCCTCCTGGTTGACTTGTATATAGATATACTTGAATAACAAAAACGTTTTTTTATTAGTTGATGGCCTAACAACT